ATATTTTATATATATATATATATATAAATATATTATATATTTTATTTTATAATATATATATTTTATAATTTATATATAATATATTTATTATTATTATTAATATATTATATTTTATAATTATTATTATAAAATAATAATTATATAATATAATATAATTTATATATATATGTAAAATAAAACATTGATAAAATCATAGATAAAATTATTAATTTACAATTCTTACCAGAATTTTCGTGTTTTAAGTATAATGGATCAACGTTAAATGTTCTGTGCAATGCTTGGCTACTTTTTATCCTGTAAAAATAAAAAATAAAAATTAAGAAGAAAAAAAAAGAAGAAGAAATGTTAAAGCGCATAATTTAACCGATTCGTATTATTTAAAAACTATAACAATTTCATGTGGTTTGATCGACTTTAAAATACGATTGAAATATCATCGGGGGATGAAGGTTTATAGATTTGTTCACAATCCACGATGTAAAACTAGAAAATCGTTGTTGGAATTCTTAAAGGCGGATATTGCGGAAAGAATGAAGGAGAAATAGAAAAAAAAAAATAAAAAAGAAAAGAAAAGAAAAGAAATGAAATGAAAAAAAAAAGGAGGCCTAGTTTCCGCAATAAAATCTACGAGAGAATAGAACAAAAAAAAAAGAAAAGAAAAGTAAAGAAAAGAGAGAGAAAAGTTACAAGAAGAAATTATGAAAATTGGTTAATTTTTTTTTTTATAAATTTTTAAAAGATAATTTGTTCCTTTTAATTTTCATTCTATTTTTTTTTTTTTTTAAATTTGTTTTCTTCTATGTTTTATTAATTTTAATGTCGATTATTAATTCAATGAAATTAAAACCACCAATTGAAAAAAAATTAAACTACAATTTCCAATTAATTTAATTGAAATTAATTAATTATTAATTAAATTGTATTTAATTGTTTTTTTTTTAAATCTTTAAACGACATTTTGTTCATTTTAATTTTTATTCTTCTTTTTTTTATTTTCTTTTTCTATTTTTTTTATTAAATAATGTCGAATATTAATTCAATAAAATAAAAACCAATTGAAAAAAAAAAATTCAACACAATTTCCAATTAATTTAATTAAAATTAATTAATTATTAATTAAATTGTATTTAATTGCTTTTTTTTTAAATCTTTAAACGACATTTTGTTCATTTTAATTTTCATTCTTCATTTTTTATTTTCTTTTTCTATTTTTTATTAAAAAATGTCGAATATTAATTTAATAAAATAAAAACCAATTGAAAAAAAAATTAAACTACAATTTCCAATTAATTTAATTAAAATTAATTAATTATTAACTAAATTGTATTTAATTGTTTTTTTTTTAATCTTTAAACGACATTTTGTTCATTTTAATTTTTATTCTTCTTTTTTTTATTTTCTTTTTCTATTTTTTTATTAAATAATGTCGAATATTAATTCAATAAAATTAAAACCCACTAATCGAAAAAAAAAAAGAAAATTCAACACAATGTTCAATTCATTTAAAATTACATGAAGCATTTAATTTTAAATATATATATATATATATATATTTAATATTATTAAAATTATTAAAATTATATTAATTAATATAAAATAAATTTTATATATATATATAATGAATTTTTATTTAATTAATTATATTTATATAATAAAACAAATAAAAATATATGTCTTACCACATAGCAGTACAATCAAAATGAACCATCAACCATTTGCTTGGATTGAATGCAAAAGAATCGGCATATTCGATTCCTTGAAGCCAACCACGAAATTCAGGACAAACAAATGCACTTCCAGCGTATGCAGCATCGATGTGCAACCATAAACCATTTTTCATGCCTATAACAAATCGATCAAACAATTCGATCATAGATTAATTAATTAGATTAATTATTTAATTAATTAATAATACATACATTGTAAATTCAATTTCTTTTTTTTTTTCACAATATTTCAAATTACTCACATATCGGACCAATTTCCATGAGATTATCGAAAGAACATGCACCTGTTGTACCCAAAGTTGCACATACCTGTGATCAGTTGATAAATATACAAATATTATATTATTATTATAATATAATATTATATCTACGTAATTAAATAAAAAAATAATTATTCATATAAAATAAAATAATTATTCAACAGGTAGTATAATAATAATAATTTAAATTATATTTTAATACGAACACATACATATATAAATATATGTATATATTAAATAATTTATATTGTATAATATAATATATTTTTTATATAATTTAATATATTATTTTATAATTCTATAATTTAATATATTTTATATATAAAAATATATTTTTATTATTTTATTTTATTATTTATTATATATTATTATTTTATTATTTACTTTATATTTTTATTATTTTATTTTATTATTTTATATATA